TGACCTAGTCATAGAAGGCCACCAGGTTGGTCTGACAGGAGCAATGTCCAGCTACCCCAGCAGTCCTAGCTGACCCTACGGACCCCTGCGGCTTAAACTGGCAGCACAAGGCTGATGGTGACAGTCTAAGAGAAAGTCTCAGCCCCATGTACCAGTGACCATCGGGTCTCTCCTACATCGGGGTCCTTTCAGACATCTCCCTTTGCCTGGAGCCAACCAACAAGCAACTGAGCTGGACCATGTGGGGCACAATAACCACCCAACCCCCTGCAGAGAGACACAGCTGCTGCGCAGGGCCAGACAGAACTGGCTTTACAGCCATGGGCACTTGCCGCCTGTTCCAGGACTCCTGCTCTGAGCACCATGAGTCAAACAGGGGACATGAAGACTTTGGGAGGCTTGCTCCAGTCTGCACATAAAGGTCCCTTTGTGCCAGGCCCCGACCTACAGGAAGCCAAGCAGGACTTCCAAACACCACATCTTAGATTATCAAATTTCTGCTGCACAATTACTGCCCCCCCTCCGCCTCTGCAGATGTCATTACAAAAATGGGATCTTAAACTACTATCTATCGCCTCCCCTGCTGAGAGCTTCGATTTCAGATACCATCACCCAGTAATAACTGGGCACCGATATCTGCTCCTGAAAAAGCCCCATTCATTGGAAAGCACGCCATTATATCTCCAGTAATTGTAAATATTGCGAAGTGCTCGAGTCAGCAGTCTCGCTGAATTTTGCTTTCAACATCTGCAACCCTATAAATCTCTGTCTCCTTCAGGTGAACTGGAGGCTCCGTGCTCTCCACTCAGGCTCCAATTTACATCTCCCAGCACTGTCGCTCCAAGCCGTCAGACCCCAGAAGGGTCCTTGGCCCTGCAGCCTGAGCAGGTCACTGCCCCATCAAGCAGACATTTGGTACCCTACCTCTAGCACCCACCCCTTGTGCAAGGTCCTCCCCATGTGAGGGAAAAAGCCTGGGGACCCTTTGCAGTGGTGCAATCATCCCTGAAGCATTTTGGCAGGATATAACATTGACCATCCTATTTCTTGGGGCTGTCAGCCATTCTGGGGCTAGTAACATCACAGCAACCCCATGCCATGGGAGAGCAAAGCACCATGAGCTGCCCCAGCAAAGGCACGGCTGCTGCTAATGGGGCCCCCTCCGGCCTGCATGCTGAGCAAAACACCAAGAAGTGGCCAGCTCTGCAAGGCCGTGAGCACGACTCCCAGCAAGAGGAGAGTCCTCCGGCAATGGCTCCAACCCCTTCTTCAGCACCATGGGAAACTCAGCGCAGTGGCCAGCTAATGCTCCCACCGTGGGATGGAGTCAGGGCCAGCCGTGTATGGGGGAGGCAGTGGTCTGCGTAACAGCTCTGTGGCCACGGGGAGACAAGCCTACTCCGTGCCATGGACAGCCCCTGGGCCAGCAGTGCTTCGCTTTGTCTCCAAACTCTCCTGTTTACCAGACCTTCGCTGGGCTGCCTCTTTTTTTTTTTTTTTAATTGTTTTCAAAACAGATTTCATGTGGTCCCAAAATGAGACCATGATTGTAAATTAAAGTGTAATTAGCCTTTACGCTTTTATATTCATTAACTCTTCTCTGTTAATGATGCAGAGGCTGGAGCGCAAACCCAGCATTATGAAACCACATCCAGGAAATAAAATAGTGATTTAGATAATGGCCAGAATGTATTGCTACTTACACATAATTAAACAAATGCTCAATTTAAACTTGGAAACATGAATGAATGTTGATTAACCCCAGCCCAATGATTCTGCTCGCGATTTGGTTAAATGGCTGTGCTGCTAACGGGGGCTGGCACGAGGAAGCAGGCAGGCCGCGCCGACATCCGTCAAACCACACCTGCACCGTGCAGGTGCTGCAGTGGGCTCAGCAACGCGGGGCACAGGTGGGGAAGCGGTGTTCCAGCCCACAGAGGATGGCTCATGTGCTGCGGGGAGAGGCTGCCCACTTAGACGGGTGTCAGACGAGCCCTGCACGCAGGGGGGCAGCTCAACACGAGTGCTCATCTCCAAAAACCAGCTGCCTCCTGCAGTCGCTGTGGTCCCAACGGCTGCTCTCCTGCTACCCTGACATGCGGGACTCGCCTCTTGCCAAAAGGCCAGCAGCCAGGGCTGCATTTGGGAGATGTGGCAAGGAACAGGGCAAGGGGCAAACCGTAGCACATTCCAACAGCCCTCTGGCACCAGCCACTAGCCTCCTTCCAGCCGGCAGCGGAGTCTGGGGTGCAGCCACGTAGGAAGCACCTGCAGGCTGGGGGTGTCATGGAGCTGCTCTGGGAACTGAGAACCAAAGTTCAGCTCCACTACTGAAAAAGAGCAAGCGCAGACAAAGAGGCAGGGGAGCCCTGTCAATAGCATCCAGATCTGCTCCCATCCAAGAGGGCGACATCAGGACCTGGACGCAAGGAGCTGCCAAGAGCCGAACTCTGACAGTTTGCAGTATAATCCCCCAGCAGCTCCCCCCAAGCTGGACCACACCGCAACCCCCAAGTTAGGAGGGCTCTGGCTGAGCTAAAAGCCCAGCAAGGCCCCTTAATTGAGCACACTGCTTTCATGACAGGTCACGAGATGAAGGACGAGGCTCCACAGCCCCCAGTGCCAAAGCAAAGAGACTGCACGGCGTGGCTCAATGCATATGCCTGTGGCAAGAGGGCCCTGCACAACCCCTTGGTGACACCCAGGCCTCTCAGGCACACCTGGCTCAACACCCACCTTCCCCGCCCACAGTGCACCCCACTTTGCACACAAGAGCCCTGGGGATGGCATCGGGGTCCCAGCCAGCAAAGGCCGCACCCCAGCACCCTGCGGGGGTTGACGCTGTGTGCACAGCCCAGCCAGAGCTTTGTCTCAACGCCCTGCTTTGTGTCATTTTCATCTCTCTCGGCTCCCTCCCACCCTGAAGGATATTAGTTACCATGGAAACAACCGTGTCGTTAGGAGGGGAGGAGCTTCGTGAAGTCCGCAAGTGCAGCACAAAGTACATTGCGTGCACACGCGTGCAGGCCGCGGACGCGTTCATGCCAGGACTGCAAAATGCTGCCTTCCCTGCCATGCCCCACAGGGCTCGAGTTGGCCACATCCCAACACACTCCTTTGTGCCCTGCTCACCCTGTCCCCACCCGGGACCCCCCACACTGCACAACCCCAGGGGCCATGGGCTTGCAGGGCCTGAGGCTCTGAGCACTGCACATACTCCTGCTCCACCTGGGGAGCTAGGAAAGAAACCACGCTCAGTTCCCTCCTCTCCTCTGTGGCAGCATCCTGCTGACCTGTGCGGGGTACAGGCACAGGCTGTGCAGACAGACAGGCTGATGGACAGCCCCACACCTCGGTCACCCCTGCAAAGTCCCCAGCCCTACTTCTCCGTACGGACCACGGTGCCGGCAGGCGATGCCATCAGGCTGCTGAGCAATACGTGGAGCTTGACACACAGCCTGTTTCCAGGGTAACATTAAGGAGGCCCCTAACGAAGGAGCCGCCGCGATTTGGACAAGGCTTCGGTGCCAAGCGGAGCCCCCGACAGCTCTCCCCTATCGCACCAGGAGCGGGCTAGACGCCAGGACTAATGTGCCCGGTCACTGCCAGAGGCTTGCAGAGTTCACTGGCATTGACTGCTCGCGCAGCAGCTACAGGGGTCTGGCTGGTTCTCCCCTCGCGAGGCAGCAGGCCAGCTGCACAGCAGCAAGTGAATGTAAGGCTGCGAATAAACTTTGCAGAGAAGGGGCTGGAAGCAAGAACCGCACGAGGGACCCTCCCCGGCATCCAGAGGCCAAACTCTTTGAAAAGTTGGCTTTTTCCCCAGACCCTTCAGTGCAAAAAGACCCACGCGCTGCACAAGGCTCTGCCCCATGGGGCTGCTGTGTTGCATCCCCCACGTCCCACACGCCAGTGCCACCCCACTCTCGCCCCACCAGCATCGGGGGCGTCCGCCGGACAGAGCAGTCGCCCATCCTTCTGGCCTCAGGGGTGACTCTGGGTCTTCTCCCAGCTCCAAACGCCTGGGCAGCAAACACATCCTAGGTCCAAAAAAGGGGCGAGAGGCATCCTTGGGGGAGAGGGGCATCGGTTGCTGTGGAGCACGGGAGCGGGGGGACCTCCCCAGACCCAAAATGCTGAAGGCTGCAAGTGGGAGTGGAGTGGGGGGAAACCCCAGGCCAGACCCAGGTCAGTCTGCCTCTCGGCACCTGCAGGAGCCCGAGCACAACGAAGCGAGGGTCCGACCCAGCTCTTCTACAACCGCATGCCGTACCTGCGACAGCAGCTCGCCTTTCCCTCCATGAGCCTGGGCAGTCTGCTTGGCTCCCAGGGCCACACTGGCAACACGTCCACTCCCACGTGCTGTGGGCGAGGGCAGGCTCTGCCCGGCCCGGCCGGTGCGTGGCACCTAGAAGCAAGCGAGAGGAGTGTGACTGCAAAGCTGCATCCCCCAGTCAGCGCTGGGCTCTCCCCGCACCCCCTCTGCCATGCGCTTGCTCCGTGCCAGGCTGCCGCAGCAGAGCCAAAGCTGCTCGCTGATTCCCACAGGAGGAAAACCTGCACACGGGGAAGTGGAGCCCCCACCAGCACAGGGCTGCTCACCGGGGCACGAGGCACAGCTCGCACATGCACAAGGCATGACTAAGCATGCACAAGGCATGACTAAGCATGCACGTGCACACATGCAGGAGACAGCTGAGCACAGGCGTGCACGCAGGCACGAGGCACGGCTGAGCACATGCACACATGCACGAGGCACGGCTGAGCACAGGCTTGCACACCTGCACAAAGCATGTGCACACATACCAGCATGCATGCACAGCTGTGCCACACGCCTGCCCAGCCCCCTTGCACTGGGGGCTGCTCCCCGGGTGTGCAAGCCCAGCAGCGCCCGCGGCCAGGCAGCGCCGCACAGGGCGCAGGGCCCCTCAGGGAGGCAGGGCTGCGGGCAGGTGGAACACCCACGGGAGGGCGCGGAACAGGCGGGGGGGGGTGCGGCATCCCGCCGCGCCCAGGGCGGGCTGCGATTGGCTGGGCTGCGAGGGGCGGGAAGCGAGGGGCCAGGGCCCAAGGAGCCGGGCGATGAGAGGAAGGACGTGATTGGCTAGGCAGCCACGCGCCGGCCTCAGCGGCTCTGCGATTGGTGGGGGCAGGGCGGGAGAGCGTCGGTCGTCGAGGCGCGCACGCCCCTCCCCCACTCCTGTCAGCCGGCGGCCTCGAGCGTTGACACCACCGTTGCCCGCCCTCAGCCCGTCGTAGGAAGCCCTGGCACCCCACTCACCTGACGGCAGGCCAAGTCCCAGCCCTCGAAGGTGCCCTCACAGATAGAGAACACAGCCCATCAGGCAGTGCCCTTCCAGCCCTGTCTGCGGTCCATTGAGGGCCACTTAGGCCTGATCCGGTGCCTATAGGATACAGCGGAAGACACACCGAGCACACAAGACAGTGCGCAGTAGACGAATTCTACCGTGCATTAGCACATCACGGCCAAAACAGTGCTGCTAAGCATCATGGAAAGATCGCATGCCTTTGCTACTGTGCAGGGAGGTAGGACCTCGTATTAGAGGCCCTACATTTAATGCGCAGTAGCAACAGTGCATTCGCACACATGTAGACGCACCCGTGGTGGATGTCACTGGGAGCAAACTTGTGTCTCAAAGCCACAGGGAAGGATGGACACGGAAAGTCCGTTTGTTGCTTCCTTAATGGAGGGGGCTGGCTCCTGCCATGCACTGCAGACGGCCCCAGAGCCGGTATGAAAACAGGCACCTAAGAGGAAACATGGAAGGGCTGTGAGAGAGGAGGACGGAACAAGAGAAAGGCAGAGGCGGGGCCGCCAGAGTCGGGAGCAGACGATGCCCCTCACCAGAGCCGGGCCCGCAACGGGAGCGAGCTCCATGCCCGACACCACGAATACTGTTCGGTGACACCCCCAGATAACCGGGGCCGAGACGGCCAGCACAGAGTGGGCATTGGGGGCTACAAGTCATGGCTGAGGGGCACTCGCGGGCTCCCATGTTTACGAGCAGAAAGTCCCTTCACAGTGAACGCCGGAGCAGCCAAACTGGTGGTGCGCCGCACAGGTGCCCATTATGCCAAAAGCTGCTGTCCGCCATCCAATCCCAGGCTTGGCCCATCCGGCTCCACTTGGACCCGGCTTTTGGGGTTCATGCCCGAGCGAGGCGCTTCCCAGCCCTGGGGTGCGCCAAGCAACCTGTTTAATTCTGCCGTTGTGGCCGCGGTGGGCACGGGGGTCAAGCAGCCCCGTTCTGAGCCTGGCAGATGCTGTCGACTGCCCAGTGTGCGCTCTGCCACTGCAGCTGCATAAGCTATAGGGAACAAGTCATTAATGACAGAGCTCGTTATTAGGCCAGCAGGTAACGTTTCACAGAGTCACTGTGAAAAATAGTGATCTCCAAACCACCTCTCCCATCCGTCAGCACAAAAGCAAGGATTAATATCAGCATCTGTTGCGCTCTGTGCAGCGCAAACTTCTCAGAGCAAGCACAGGAAGGGAAACGAGGGGCATGAAGCCTCTGGACAGCCCCCGACAAGCTGCAGGCTGGTGGCTCCCCTCCCCACCCCCCCGAGTCCCTGCAGCCCAGGGCTCCAATATGTGCGCTGCTGCAAGGGTTGCAATTTCTCCATCAATACAAAAGAGACAGAGGCTCAGCAGCTTGGCTTTTTGAAGTTCCTGCATGGGAGCCTACAAGTGCAAATGCAGTGAAGGCTGGCGTGCTGTGGGAGCTAGGAGGTGCAGAGACCAAAGCCACAGAGATGATCCCTCCCTCCAAGGGCCCAAGTGCCATCCACCAGTCAGGATGCCAGCAGCAATTCTGTGTGGGATTCTGGGGTTCTGCAAAGAACTGTACACACTTCAAAAGCAGCACAGCTTTGGCCACCTCTGCCCAAGCAGGGCTCAGCATGGACAGCCGGGCCCTTGTGCAGAACAGGGAGAACCCAGGACTGTCGGGCTAAGAGACATACCTCATTGCTGAGTCCAACAGCACCATCTCCACATGCGCCTCAGGGAGCAGCCCCCTGCAAGCTCCATTGTCCCCAGGGCTCTGATGCCCTTGTCACGCCTCTGGAGGGGCAGCCAGCTCCCGCATAAAGGGTTCGTGGCTCAGTTCCTGCCAAGACATGCTCTGTGGCAACCATTTGTCAAGGGAGCTGAGCACAGGGAAGGCCCTTCTCAGCAGACCGGCACTGGTCTCCCAGCCTGTCGGGGATAGTCAGAGCCCTTGTGACCAGTGATGACTTCACAAATGGCTTCTGTGCAAAGAGGAGCAGGTTTTCCTCACCATGGTGCAGGAGTGAATGAGAGCGGAGCTGTGGAGGTGCAAGGATACGATGGCCTGCCATGGCCATACAGACCGTCTGCGCCCGCCTGCCCCCCCACCTCCCGGACTGCATGCAGAGCAGAGCGCAGAGCTGTACTCCACACGCAACCAGGGCAAAACTGGCTAGAAGTGAAGGGACAGCTGCCTCCAATGCCCTATCCTTCCTCAGACCTGCTGAGAGGCCTCCATGCAGCTTTCCCTCTCCTTTCCTTTTCATTTTTAATTTAATACAGTTGACACTCATGCAAATGAGCTCCTGACTCTGCAAGTTGGGTTAATTGAATGTTACCAAGGTCTGGACAGCCTGCTAGGTCCCAGGCCACGGGCAACTGGGCTGCCGGCAGGAACGAAGCCTCGGACCTGTCCTTGGCAGACATGCAGGATCCTGCTACAGAAACCAGGCAAGCCATGCCCAGCTGGGTCCCTGGGGAGCCAGGGTCTCAGTGGAAAAGGCCCCCCATGCCCAAAACCAGCCAGGAGAGCTTGTGGAGCGTGCTGAAGTGTAGTGTGCACTTAGGGAAGGGACTCACCTCCCAAGGTCTGGAGGCTGGAAATCTTCTCTCAGATGCTGACTTCCAGGTATATGATTTAATGAAAGGCACAATAAGAAGTGAAACAATTAGAATTTCTGCCTCATTATCATGGTAATCTTATCAGTCGGATAATGAGGTATTAATGGAGATTTAATGTGCCTCTCATAACAGAATCCCTTGGAGAAAACACATAAGGAAATTGCTGTAAATCCACTTAATGATGGAAAGGTCCCCAAACACCATATTCCAAAGGATGAAAAATGCTGGATGCAAATGAGAAAGAATCAAGGTCAATAACACTGCAGGGACCAAGCTAATGGCAGGCCTGGATATATATAATAAAAATTGCATGTTGCTTTTAAACCTCAGCCTCTGTTGTTTTCAAACATGCATTGCCACTAATGAAATGACGGAGATGTGCAGCATGCTAGGTGGGCTGCACAAAAGGCTGTGAAACCCTGCACGAGGTGCCAGGATGGAAAGCCAAGCAATGTGCTTTTGGGTCTGCCCAGGGCATGGGCAGCTGCTACAGGGAGCTACCGTGGGAGGTGGTGTCTCCCTGCTGCACTCTCCCCTGAGCTGCAGGCAAGGCCTGGAAGCAACCCCTTCCCATCCCTCTGGGCTGCAGCACTGTGGGGCAGGGACCAGGAGAACACTTCTGCCCTCACAGCAGTTCTCTGTGGCCAGGCTGGGCTCAGCCCCCTGCATGCCGGTGTTTGCCTGGCCCCAAGCCAGCCCTGAGCACACGCAGGGAAGGATGAGTCAGTTGCCCACGCCGCGTGGCCCTCTCCCATTGGCATCTGGGCCTAGCTGTCACAGGAGCCCGGAAGGCAGCTTCCCTGCAGGACCCCAGCATACTCGGAGGCTGCACAGCCTTCGGCTTGGAGGCATCTGGGGGCTGCAGCAGCGGCTGCCACCCACGTCCCCTGTGAGGAGCTGGGCTTGGCCACTAGATGTCACCCTCGGAAAGGAAACCGGCTGGTGGGCAGAGAACAGCAACCCAGCCAGGTGGGGAGCAGCTGCAATGCAGGCTGCCTGCCCAGGGCACAGCCCCCGCATCCCCAGGCCTGCTCTTACTCTCCTTCACCTGGTGCCAAGGCTAGGGTCAGTGCTGGGGCCTGCTGGGCAGCATGGGCCATGCAGGGGTGATGGTGGCCTGGCACTGGCCAGTGGGTGAAGAGGTCATTGTGCCCAGGGTAAAGCCATCTCCTCTCCCCCAGAGCCACTTTACAACCCAGGGGGGTGCAGGCAGCAGGGCAGGGCTGGGCCTGTGCCCAGGACCCCACCCAAGGAGCAAGGGGCCCACTGGCACCAAACCTGCTGAAGCCAGCCACAGCCCTTCCAGCCCATCTGCCTGCACAAACCCTCTCCCCACTCCACGGCCACAGGAGGGCAACTGGGCTGGGAAAGGGCCTGAGCAGGGAGCCATGCAGAAGCCAGTTTCCAGGGTGCCTGTGTTCCTGCTCCCTGGGGACACTGTGCCCAAAAGGGCACGGGTCATTCAGCTGCTGTGT